GGGAGTAAGGTGAACCCCACACAAGTGTTTCTGAGCTGCTAATTTGGGTCTAAGGTTTTAAGCACTTATTTTGCTCTTTACACCTATGTAGTTTGCAACTCAATAATTAACTAGTAATATCTATAATCATTACTGAAGAGTGATAACAGAATATGTTTCGATATTTTTGACTTGACAGTTCATTCGTTGACTGTTTTGAATTTAGCTCCCAGAATTTGTAATACTGAAAAAGTATTCTGAATAGTTCCCTTTTAGACAATTACCACATGGCAAAGTAAATGCTATACATTTTTTATTAATACGATAATAGTAATATAATAGTTTGCTCACGGCTACCACCAGGATACTGCATAAATAATGTTAAGATTCCTAACTATGAAATGATCACTAACGTTTACGTTACGTCAAAAGGAAGTCATTTAAATTTAAAATGCTTCCCCATGATATGGAATATAGGCAATCTGGAACGTGGTGTGTGAACTTGGATATACTGGTAGATGGATAGAAGTTAATCCATTTTGAACATCTTCTTCTGTGAGTACTGTTTAACAGACAGTCGAATTTGAACCTCAGTTTTCTGAATAATGGATGTCGATCCCTATGAATCTTTCTAAAGGTGGAACTTCTTCTACTATGTTATTTGAAATGAGGTCTATAATTGTTATATACATGAGATTTGTTTTGTGAACTGATTTCATGAATCTTGACATCAGTTTCTCTGAAGAAAATCCTTCTTTTATAGACCCAAGAATCTGGAATGTTAAGTGGAAATCTAGCTGTCTCCTTCCTACTTTGGTCAGGTTCTATTTATCTTCAGAATGATTTTTCCCTCTATCTCTGGTATTTTTTGTATACTGAGAAGATCTTCACTGGTATCCCCAGAATAATTCTTTCCTCGGACTATATTGTTGACTTTCCTTCATTCAGGACAAAGATTTTCTTTCCTCAATAACATTTTCAAAGGCATCATGCAAGGAATTCTCAAATAATCTATGGTAGAACGCATAGATTTGTTTTTTCTGCATGGTCTGCACCTCAAGATTGTAACCAGAGGACACATCAAAATTACACATAGAAACATAGAAACATAGAATGTGACGGCAGATAAGAACCATTCGGCCCATCTAGTCTGCCCAATTTTCTAAATACTTTCATTAGTCCCTAGCCTTATCTTATAGTTAGGATAACCTTATGCCTATCCCACGCATGCTTAAACTCCTTTACTGTGTTAACCTCTACCACTTCAGCTGGAAGGCTATTCCATGCATCCACTACCCTCTCAGTAAAGTAATACTTCCTGATATTATTTTTAAACCTTTGTCCCTCTAATTTAAGACTATGTCCTCTTGTTGTGGTAGTTTTTCTTCTTTTAAATATAGTCTCCTCCTTTACTGTGTTGATTCCCTTTATATATTTAAATGTTTCTATCATATCCCCCCTGTCTCGTCTTTCCTCCAAGCTATACATGTTAAGATCCTTTAACCTTTCCTGGTAAGTTTTATCCTGCAATCCATGAACCAGTTTAGTAGCCCTTCTCTGAACTCTCTCTAAGGTATCAATATCCTTCTGAAGATACGGTCTCCAGTACTGTGTACAATACTCCAAGTGAGGTCTCACCAGTGTTCTGTACAATGGCATGAGCACTTCCCTCTTTCTACTGCTAATATCTCTCCCTATACAACCAAGAATTCTGCTAGCATTTCCTGCTGCTCTATTACATTGTCTGCCTACCTTTAAGTCATCAGAAATAATCACCCCTAAATCCCTTTCCTCATATGTTGAGGTTAGGACTCTATCAAATATTCTGTACTCTGCCATTGGGTTTTTACGTCCAAGATGCATTATCTTGCACTTATCCACATTAAATGTCAGTTGCCACAATTCTGACCATTTTTCTAGTTTACCTAAATCATTTGTCATTTGGCTTATCCCTCCTGGAACATCAGCCCTGTTACATATCTTAGTATCTTAGTATCATCACCATCTTTACCACCATCTTGGTGATGTCTAAAGATATGTCTCCCAGGACTTGTGGCCAGGATTAAATTTCTTAGTAGTTTTCAACAGCAATTCTCATTTTACCCATGTTACTAAGTCCTTCCATGCTTCATATCCAGGCTTTCATAGACCTGAACAAAGACACCAACAACACTGCTGGACGAAGGCTTGCACCTAAACATATGTATCAGTTTAATATTGTTGAATAAGGTTTCCAATAGATTTAATATTTTTGGATAAACTTTTAAAAAAATTTTTTATAATATATCATATATAAAAAAAAATCTATATCAACATATCTCAAACTATCAAAATATTACAAAGTTTTAATATTTTTCACAGTGTTATTATTTTAATATTTATATATTACATCATTTCTAAAGTTTATCCAAGAATATTAAATCAATTTGAAAGCTTAAATCAATATTAACAGTATTAAATCGAGGCCTAAGTGTCTGTCCATATTTTTTTCCATTTGTTCTTTCAGAGAGAAATCGAAATGACAGTAGGTAGAGCTAGACTGATAATTGACGTGTCTATTTTCGAGGGCTGTCCAAGATGTCAAAATCTTGTTACCTTGTCCTAGAATCCTTTTCTCTGGTCTTGACCTTTCAGCCAGAAAGTCTTAATGGCAGCTGCTGTTAACAATAAGGTCAGGGTTGTAAACCAATGAGAAATCAGATATTAAGTAGTGGCTCTCTTAGAGAATAACAGGAACCGTTAGCTGCTACTTGCCTACTAGCTTTAAGTGGCATCAGATGGCAATTCTATGTCACTACTGGTGAAAGTGTGCAGTTGCCATAGCTGCTACTTGCTAATAGTAGAAAGTAGCAATATTACAATAGAGTTCTATAGTTGTAGAGAAGGTAATAATGACTTCCTATCCTGAATGCAAACAACTGAAGGAAACAACTGAAATTAGCCCCATGGGGTGGGTTAAATTATTACACAAATGTTTAATAACTACAGAGTAACCTGGAGTGTTGTGGAAGGCTGTAAGCAGGGATAATCAACTATTAGTGTTCTATAAAAGTTAGAAGTAAACTAATTTTTGTGTCATTGAATGAAGAACAATTGGCCAGAGAATAATCCAAAAGGACAGACCAGGGGGTAACCCTAATGGGAAAGTCTGTCCTACAAAATGTAAATGCAAAACTGTAGATATAAGAAAAAGCAGTTAAAATTGTTTACTTTATTTCACAAAACAAAAAGGGAAGGGGAGGAGAAAGAGAAAAAAAAGAAACCTACATTAACAAATAAGAATTACCTAAAGGGGTAAATTCTTTGCACAGTGATAGCCGATGCAACAATGTATCACGAGACTGTATAATGTAACTGTAGATTTGTTACATGAGAGTCAGATAATATATGGCAACGGTATATCAGTAGTGCGTAAAAAAATTACAACAGTGTACTCGAAACCATCAATTGGAATTATTAACCTGTATAGTCCGCCAGATATTAAGACTATAAGAATAGTATACCAGAAAAGAGGCTTACAATTCGCTACCTCCCGTTGTCAGTCCTCAGAGTGTAAATAAGGGCTGACAGGGTTTATGAAGAGAGGTAGAATTGATAACAGAAAGAATTGCTGTTATTGAACTGCAAGCTCACTTCAACATATAATAATATATATACAACCTATGCGGCAAGAAAGATACTGGCAATAAGATGCTGCGATCATGCCATGGGGTGACCCCCCACAGAATAAGTCTCTGGGAGTCACCAGAGAATTGACTGAGAATTTAGTATATATATATCTCACTTGGCAACTAACTAGACTGAGATTCCGAATGCGGACAAGCCGGTAAGGCTAGTTATCTTTGGAGTACGTGAAAATATCACAAAAAGTACACACGAGCCGATCGGGCTGGTAGTAAGTGGGTTAATAATACATAAAGATACACACAAAATAAACTATTAGTTCTTCTGATGTCATTCAATGCCAAAAATTAGGCATTTAAATATGTAGCCCTATATATGTAATAGGTAGCAGTAACGTTCATAGAGCTATAGACAGAAGGAAAAATTAGGTAGAATGGTGCCTTCGTGGGCACCTGGTATAGTAAAGAGATGTATAAAATAGATTAGATAGAGTAACTGTATATACAATATTCTAGTAGCAACGGTCCTGCAAATTTACTAATACTAGGTGATTACCCTGATCGGTGAATCAATAAACGTTCAACTGCGGCGACTAACTGCCGTCTAAATTATAGAAGTCCCAGACCGGCAGTTTAATAATGCCAGCCACGAGTAAGATAACCAGGAAAGGGACAGAGAAGGAAAAGCTAGTGCCACAGGAACAAAGATTTAATAGAGAGAGATCGGGTAGGTGTCAGACCCAATTTGTGTCATGTACCTGTGTCTTATTTTGTCATATGTCGCAGGTTCAAATCCCGGCAGGGTTGACTCAGCCCTTTATCCTTCTGAGGTAGATAAAATGAGTACCATTAAATTGGGTAATAGTAACAACCCCAGGACATACTTGAAAACCAGAGTAATCTGAATGTACCTTTCCTGGTTAAATACTTTATTATTATTATTATTATATGTGAACGATAACATGAATATTTTCACACTGAAATATAATTTCCAGGATCATCAGGTGAGAGCAACTGGTGGTTTTATCAGAGTCTGTACATATGTTTAAACAGCAATCGGATGCTTACTTGCAAAAACATATTATTCAGTGATATCGTTTTTAATTAGTGGGAGATATCCAAGGAGATATCTGACTACCATTCTGGAGGTCGAAAAGGATATTATTCCTAGTTTGTAGCAAAATTGGGAAGTGCTTCAAACTGAGGTTTTTTTTGCCTTCTCTTAGATCAACAGCCAAAACTGATGTGAGAAATACTGAACTTGATGGCACATGACTCTTTTCATCCTATGTAACTTTGTAAAATTGCTGATCGTGTCTTTTCTTCTGTCTCTTCACAGAACCATTTCTCACAGCTCCTGGCTGTTTAAATAGCAAAACTACAGTTCAGGAATGGATTGTCACAGCAATGGCAGCTGATGGCTCTAAGCTGTTGCGCCTACTGAACACTCTCTGCACAGCGTTTACAAAAAGAGACCTTTAACCTCTCTCTCCCTACACTAATGAAACTCACACGACAAAATGATGAAATAAGTATTCACTGCAAATAAATAATAAACCGAGAATTAATTACGCAAAGAAATCCCATAAAAACTGATTACAATGGAAAACATCATGAGCATTATAACGGACTCATTACGTATTATTTAACCCCTTAAGGACACATGACATGTGTGACATGTCATGATTCCCTTTTATTCCAGAAGTTTGGTCCTTAAGGGGTTTAAAAAGTGTCAACAAATTCTGTAGCGCTGTACAATAGGCAAGCATTCTACTGAATCATGATGCAGGAATTCTACATTCAAACATGACGCTCCAGCGCTATTCAGCGTCTCAACATCACATTGCATTCTTCGCTTTTATATATTACATCATAATTTATGTTTCAGCTATGAATCCTAACCATGGGAGGCCTACTGCGGAGAAATTATTGGACATTGCTATGCTAATTCATACACATTATCAAAGCACAAAGTAGGAGAGAAACGAGGAATACATTTACTTATATTAACAAATATTCCACGGCTCATGCCTTTGCAACAACATACTTGTACAAAGAAGAGTATTAGAGGACTAATCCCCAATATGATTACTCAGTACATCATGAGAAGAAAAACAGCACACCTGGCAAATATTGCATCCAGGATAAATTATTTGAATGTGTATTTTATCTATCAAGCTATTATTTATGTATATGTTTAACATTGCTTCCTTATATTAAATGTATTTATATTATGGACGTTATTGGTTTTTGTGCACATTGAAAAGTTTTATGGGTTTAACACATTTACATTTTTTTGTGACCTTTTTTAAGGAACTCTTCAAGCTCTTCAGCCCGATGTAGAAGTTATGGTTCCAAGAATACACTGGCACTGACCCAGAGTAATATGTCAAACTGTTTTAGCGTTTGGGAAGGTCAATGTCAATTTGTTCAGTTCAGCGACAAATTGAACATCAGCATCTGGCTTCTCCTGTCTGGGCCCAAATAAGTGTCAAACCATACTGAACAAGCTTGATTGATTACGCTTGGACAGTGCCCCGGCACTACTGGAACTGTAGTGGGCTGTAGTTGTTATGGTTCTTGGATTGTTCCTTTACTTTTGTATATGTATAGGTTAATGTTTAATATATCTGTGTTCTATAAGCTGATTTTTTAAGGCAAAGTTTGGTATGTTGGTAGTAATAATAATGACATTTTATAAAAGAACGTTACTGCATTTTCTCATATAGTAAGGAATTGGCAGCAAAGAGAGCATTACACAATATAATTTCATCACATTAAAGAATAATGAACGTCTCAGTTAAGCCTGCAGTGGTGAAGATAGCACAGTTTATAAAATGGCCAGCTGAGCTATCTCACCATCTTAATAGCAAAATGTTTGTGCATTTCAGGTGAGAACTGAGATTTATCTCTGATATTGGTGTGCGAAATGTTTTTTTGTAAATATCATTTTAATGAAAGAAGTTTTCAAAAACCTAGTTTTGTAAAGCTGAACGAGACATGTAGGTGTCAAGCCAAGCAAAGGAAAATTCAAGTACAATCAATAAGTTTCCAAAAATTACAATGTAAATGTAAGATTTGCTGATCTCAGTTTTTGAAAAGTGAGACAAGACATGCTGCAATTCTAAAACCAAGCAGAGGTAAAATTCAAGTACAATGAAATAGTTTTCAAAAATCACAACGTGAGTTTTACAGATCTCAGATTTTGTTTAGTGAAACGAGACACGCAGGTCTCCGGTTAAGCAAGGGTAAAATTATTTTACAATGGCAACCAAAATAAAGGATCTACTGGTAGTGTGTGCATTTTTCATATGAACATTACACAAATGACACATCTAGATCATAATTATATATATGTATGTAATTAAAGTTCAATTTACAGAGCGGGAGATAAAAACTTTTAAAGTCTTCTGATTGAAAAGGAAAAAAAACATTTTGTTTTCATGCAGGTTGTGTGAGTCACAGTCATGAAAGGTGTGGCTAAGGCTGTATAGACAGAAACAAAGGTGATTTAACTCCTAAATGGCAGATAATTGGGCAGTGAGACTGCAGAGACATGATCTATACACTAAAACTGCTTCATTAAGCTAAAGTTGTTTTGGTGACTATAGTGTCCCTTTAACTATAATTGCCTGACCTATTTCAGTTATATTCAACCAACAGATAATCCCTCTGAGGCAGAGGTCCTTATAATATTTTTCAGACCCTATGTACTTCTACTGAACAAGTTGATAATCATTGACCTACCTGTATCTAACACAAAACCTATAATTCCTGGCTGTGCCAAGGTTAATAACTTACGTGTCTCATAATTAGGGTGACAAATAAGGCTAAATTGGGGGTAATGATTGCTTGAAAAATAGTAATGTAGGAAACAGTGAGTGTATTCACTAAACATGAATGTAGCGGATGGCACTGGGCTGTCCTGCCAATGTCTTCGAAATAATTGCATTCATGTGATTTGCTGGTTTTCTATGTGTTTTAAAGCCTTGTATTCTTGTGATTGTTCGGTAGTTCCATTCCCTTAGTTTATTCGAATGAAACTACCGAACAACCAGACCTCCCCTGTGTGAAGTGTGTCCTCAATTACCCGTTGCAACATTGTTGCGAACGGGTAATTGAACAGTAAGTAGCCGTCCTTTGTTCTCGGGGGTGGCCGCCATTCGACAAACGAACACGTGGCGGCGGCCATTTTAAAACTCCCGAACAGCGGTGTTTTGCCGTCGAGTGTCTGGAACTAAAATCGGACACTCGAGTAGGCGAACACCGCTGAGACCTCCACAAACCTGGTCCGTTCGGTTCCAAACTACCGAACGGCCCCTCGTTCGGTAGATAGAAAATACCGAACGAGGGGATTCAGGCGAACCCTCCCTAGCCTCTATAGCTAGAGGTTTTCGTGTATTTCATTCCCTTATGCCAGGACCGACCGCAGGGCCCATTCACATGGAACCGGATTCGGCTATCTCTGTTCGTGTGGTCGGTCATTTTATTCCCTCCATACTTTTCCCGAACCCCTGGTCCGATCTGGGTGATTTTTGGATATGTTGGTCACCCAGATCAGGGCTACCAGGGGATGTATGATTTAAAGGGGTACTCCTACGTTTAGGGGTACATCCAGAAACGGGGGGAAATTGGTGTGCTGGATAAGGGGATTATGATGCTGGCTGAGGGGAGGGGATGTGTGGGAGGTTACCAGGACAGGATTGGCTACTTTAATAATTACTGTAAATCCCTCCCTTGCATGGGAGCATGCTTTATAAGGAGACTGTGATTAAAGGCTTGTCAGTTCTGCTCCTGAAACTGTGTGTCGTCCAGTTATTGGGATTGCTGTGGGGAGATTGCTGTTATTTTACCTGCTGGAAACTTTGCCTATGGATTTATTATTTACTTGTTCCTGAGCCTCACTTGGATTACAAGCGGAGATAACCTGGGGAATATTGCATCTCCGCTACATTGGTTGGCAGCGCTGGGATCCAGACTCACAAGGGAACAAGGACTAATGGAATACGGATGGAGAGTGATTATGCCAAGCTTAAAAGATCCACGCTAAAAGATCTCCTGGAAGCGAAAGGCATTGCAGCCAGCAACAAAAAGAAAGCAATCCTCATTGCAGAAGTGATGGCTGAATACCAGCAGGAGGACAGGGTAATCCCTGAACAACAGAGTGCAGCAGATGGAGCTGAAAAAGAAGAGTTTCGGAGAGAGGTGCAGTTCAGGCTGTCCTTTTATGGAGAGAATCCAACAACGGATATTATAGCCAGGACAATGTCAGAGGTACAGGAGTTCATACTGCGTCAAAGGCCACTACAGCAGCTGGAGAGGAATGCTACCACAACTACCATCACCCAGGGTAAGACAAAAATTCCTTACCAAGCTTTTAAAACATATATAGAAGCAGAGGAAGATATAGATGCTTTTCTCCAAGACTTTGAAAGGCTGTGTGCATTGCATAATATTAGCCCAGATGAGTGGGTGCCTATTTTAGCAGGGAAGCTCACAGGGAAGGCGGCGGAAGCCTATAGAACTGTACCTGATGAGGAAATTCGGAATTACCGCAGAGTAAAAGAAGTGATCCTGGCCCGATATGCAATCACGCCAGAGGCATATCGGCGACGGTTTAGAGACCTAAAGAGAAATGACAAGGACTCTCATGTGGAATGGGCTTGCAAGTTGCATCGGGCCGCTCTGGGGTGGGTACAGTCCAATAAGGCTCGGTCCATGGAGGACTTATTGCAAATGGTGTTGTTGGAGCAATTCTATGAGGGGGTAACAGGCGAGGTCCAGGAATGGGTGAGGGACAGAAACCCTACCTCCCTTACCGAAGCGGCTAGGAAGGCCGATGAGTACTTGGATGCACGCAGGCAGCAGAAACAAGCAGCCCCAAAAGCTATTTTTTAAACCTTTGGGGGAAACAGCTACAACCCAGCTCCACCAAGGCAACTGCCACCACCACCCGCTGTACAGCCACGTTTTCGCCAGCCCGCTTCTGGCCCCTGTCATCACTGCCAGAAGTGGGGACATTATAAAAGGGAATGTCCCCAGCTGAGGGATCGTTCTACCTGGATTCGCCCCGGCCCACCACCACCACCGAGAGCAGCCGCCGCCCATCACTACCAAAATATAGTGGCCACACCATATGGGTCAGCTGTTCCCATAACAACCATGGAACAGTGGGAAGTACTACACGAGGCGGATCCAGTCCAGGCCAATGCTGATAACAGACAGCATCACAGGCAGACCGTATACCTGGAGGGTAAAGCAGTACAGGGCCTACGTGATTCGGGGGCTACCATCACCTTGGTCAAAAGTCACCTGGTCTCGGATGAAGCAAGACTAAGTAAAACTGTGGCCGTCAGGGTAGCCGGGGGAGCAGTATACCGGCTACCTACAGCAAGGGTACATTTACATTGGGGAGCGGGGGCAGGACATGTGGAGGTGGGGTTGATGCCGCAGTTACCGGCGGAGGTTTTATTGGGGAACGATCTGGGGAGGCTCACATCTGCTTTTGAGCCCCAGACGTCCACCACAGGAGAAGCTCATCCTGTGGTCACCCGTCAACAGGCCCGCACCCAGGACTACAACACACTTCCGGAGGTTCAGGTAAGAGACCCTTCCCCTTCCCTTGACTGTGTCCCCTGGGCCCCTCCTAACGAATTTGCAGCAGAGGTAGTGACTGACCCCACCTTGCAGGTATACAGAGACAAGGTGACAGCAGACCCTCCGGGGGGAGAGGGGGAGAGATTTGTCTGGGACAAGCAGCTTTTGTACAGGGAGACAGACAAGCAGATTGAGGGGTCAGACCCAATAGTGACGAGGCAGCTAGTGGTGCCGCAGCGGTACCGAGCAGAGCTACTCCGGATAGCGCACGATATCCCGCTATCCGGACATCTAGGGGTCAGCCGCACTAGGTACCGACTGACCCAAAATTTCTTCTGGCCAGGGATCAGCCAGGAAGTGCGCCGGTATTGCACCACCTGCGACACCTGCCAGAGGGTAGGGAAAAGGGGAGACCGGAGGAAGGCGAAGCTACACCCCTTGCCAATAATTGAGGAACCTTTTAGCAGAATAGCGGTAGACTTGATAGGTCCCCTCAAGAAAGCCAGCCCGTCAGGCAAAAGGTACATTTTAACGGTAGTAGACTATGCTACCAGATATCCAGAGGCGGTGGCTCTGACCAACATTCAGGCTGAAACGGTCGCGGATGCCCTCATGCAGATATTCTCCCGGTTGGGATTACCCAGGGAGATTATCTCGGATCAGGGTACCCAATTTACCGCAGAATTCACCCAACACCTCTGGAGGATCTGTGGCATTAAGCCTATTATCAGCACCCCTTACCACCCCCAGACTAATGGGCTCTGCGAACGGTTCAATGGCACATTGAAGCAAATGCTCCGAACCTTCGCAGAGACCCACAAGAACTGGGAGCGGTTCCTGCCGCACCTCCTATTCGCTTACCGGGAGGTGCCGCAGGAATCCACGGGATTTTCCCTGTTTGAACTGCTGTTTGGGAGGAGGGTCAGAGGCCCCTTAGATCTTATAAGAGAGCACTGGGAGGGAGATCGGAGCACAGATGGCACCCCCATCATACCATACGTGTTGGCTCTCCGAGACCGCCTGGAAGCATTAACCAGGACGGTAAGGGAAAACCTTCAGGCGGCACAGACCCGCCAGCGCACATGGTATGACCGGGGAGCCAGGGACCGTAGCTTTCAGGTCGGGCAGAAAGTGCTAATTTTAAAGCCTGTCCGACATGACAAGCTACAGGCCGCCTGGCAGGGACCTTATAGGGTGGTGGAACAGAGATGTGACACCACCTATATAATTGGCCCCTGTACAGGGACGGGAGGGCGACGCATGCTCCATGTGAACATGATGAAGCCCTACCAAGCGCGCTCCGAGGAGGTAACCGCCATATGTGCGCCCAATTCGGATGAGTTTGACAGCTTACCACTCCCAGATCTGCTGGAAGATGGGCAGCTGTCTGGGGATTTAGGGGAAGTCACACTGGGAGACCGGCTGAGCCCACAGGAGCGCATCGAGGTACAGCAGCTGTTGGAGGAGAAACGAGACACGTTCTCTAATGTACCTGGGTACACCCCTCTGGCCACTCACCGGGTAGAGACCCCAGGGCAACTACCGATGCGCCAGACCCCTTACCGCATCCCCGAAGCGGTGAGGGAAAACATGCGCAAGGAGATCGATGAGATGCTCCAACTGGGGGTGATTGAGCCCTCAGATAGTCCCTGGGCTTCTCCGGTAGTACTCGTACCGAAGCGGGACGGTACGACCCGCTTTTGCGTAGACTACCGGAGAT